GTGTGTGGGGGGGGCGTTGGGGGGGGGGGGGGAATGGGGGGGGGGAGGGGGGTGCTAACTGGCTGATCTTAAAGGCCTGATTTTTGTTCAAAATTATCCCATATGCAACCTGCTTGCGCAACTGACTCTATTCCTACTTATGGTAGGAACTATTGTAATTGTCAATTGATTAGACTGTTCTGGATCATTACAAGAATTGCACCATCTTCCAGGTCTCTCCAGTGTGCATCCTGAGCAGAACTTAATTGGTAACCATCTCCCTTGCCAATGCTTACTTATATCTGAAATCATGAAATAGAGATTTTTTTTTAAAAAAGCAGATTCTGGCTACAAAATAACTGCACTCCAGATACTGTACCACAGGCACGGGAATAGGAAAAAAGGTTATTACACCCAATCTATAGTGACAATAATCCTAATGAAGGACTAGCCATGGACAGTAACCATCAAGACTTGCACTAGATTCTAGTTTCTGATTGCAGGCCTCAGGAAGGACACATCGTTGCATTAATAACTCCGATTCTGCTCATCAAAAGAAAAACCTTTTAGAACAAGTTCATGAAGGAGTAGCTGCACTTTCTTGCCAATGGCAACAAAGGACTTTTAAACTGTAAATTAAGGCAATTTATCCTACAATTAAATCATGAATAAAGCATATCATTTCTCGCTTCTCATATCTTTTTTAGGATCCGCTTTACTACCCACCATACACTGCCTAGACAAAAGGACAACCTGGCACTCTGTTGCTACAGTTGGGTCATCAACGCTGTATAAGTAGACGCCAGGAAGTGTACCAGAGACTGACTCTTACAGGGAATTTAAAAAGTGACTCTCCTCTAATTGAAAGGATATGCAGTGAACCAAAGCTATGCTTCAAAGCTTGCAGATGTTATTTATTTCCTTGTGGAATAATGATATGTAAAATAAGTTTAGTAGGCCTGTTGAATGTCATAAGGGAGATTTTAGGATCATGCACTCAGTCAGGAAGAAGTTAAAAGCCCAGATTTTCCACTTGGATAAGATCCTGATTGAAAACAAAATTTAGCGAGGCACAGTTCTCTAATTGTATCCATTGCAGTTTCTGGGATTTGCTAGTGTGGGAAATGTTTTCTCCACGGTTGCAATGTCAATAGATACAGCTTTCCCTAGTATCCTGTGGAGAACAAAATTAGCTGTCCTTACCTGCTCTGATCTACATATGACTCCAGGCCAACAGCAATGTTGACTCTTAACTGCCCTCTGAAGTGGTCTAGCAATCCACTCCGTTGTCAAGAAGGTGGCTCAGCACAAGAGCAACCAGGAATGGGCACTGAGTACTGTTTTTGCCAATGATGCCCTCATCCCATGAATGAATAAAATTGATCTGAAATAACGCAACATTCTAACAGCCATAAAAATTAGTTAAAAATTGAAGAGCCTTGGCCCCACATAATGTGACTACGACATTTGTAAGAATATAAATTAAGAAATTAATCATGACAAATGTGACAGAAATAAGCTACACAAAGTCAGAACAAAACTGCTAGGCAGTTTTGAGCCTGTGAACATCTCTCAACCATTAAAAAAAATTCTGAACTGCTTCCTCACAATTTAAACTCTGATTTGAGTCCCTTAATTGGTTTATCCCCAACAATCTGGTTCATTGCCATTCCAGTGTGCAACAGGAGATTTTTTAAATTAATATCAACTTGGAGAATACTCCAAAGACAAAGTTTAGAAACTGAGCAGAAAGCAGCATAACCCAGAACAAAGCCTTTTGGAAGAAGTTAAATGGGGTGTTTGATGCTTCAGCAAGTTTAACCAGTGACTGACCAAGTCAGAAAAGCCCCAAGTGCCATCCTAGTACATAGGAGAAGCTGAAGTGGGGCAGTGGAGGAGGATATTACCATCGATGCCAGCATCACCACCAGATAATATTTGCAAATGACATATGCTGCTGATTCATCTTGTATAGTTCAAAATGGGGCTGCAGTATGTTCATTTTCAAGTGTTACCATTTATTTTTGCTAGTTTTCCCTTTCGGGCAGGCTGGTGACACCTTTTGGGAGAGCAGGAGGGTAACAAGATAATGAGCAACAGATAATAAAAACAGTGCTAAATTTAAACACAATGTGCAGGCACTGAACTGGATTGAGGAAATGCTCCACCCAATACATTCATAGGTTGACCATTACCTAACCTCCACAGGCAAACTACCAGAACATGTGCCAAGTGTTAAAGAACGACACAACCAGACAAACGATAAACAGTTCCTAGGACGGAGAGAAACCAATTACTTCATAAACTCAAATTAAAACAAATTTTACGCAAAATATTTTCAAACCATGTCGAGAGATGAAACAAATGGGTAATAAAATCGAGCAGACAGGTTATGTCCTAATTTGTATAAATTATAGCCATGCACACAGAGGCCACTGTGCGCCTGGGTCATAACCCAGACACCAATCAGACCACTGATTACCTTGTACCTTCCAGACAGCACAACAGGAATGTTCCTGTCCATCAACAGCACTAACATATTAAAAACACAATTGTTTGGATGCGCCATTTTCATCATTTAGGAATTTGAACAATGAAACCATGAAGTTAAATTTCAGCTCTTTGATATTGTAGACTTTCAACAGAGATTCATTGTTTAGTATTAACTGGTAAAAGTACATCATGAGAACAGTGAAGCCAAAATAAAAATGACAACCTTCCAATTGAAATTACTGGTTATAAACCAACAGAATTATAACTTGTGATTATAAGGGTAAATGTTGGGAAACACTAGGTTAACTACCTCCTGAATTACACACATCTTAATACCTCAGACTGCTTAAGTAGACCTGAATGGTGTCATTTATTAACAACTTCAGTCAGTAAGTGGCTTTCACAGCATGCCCTCTCCCATACTGGTTTCCCTTTGTAAGCTAGTTTCATTGTCACTATGGCAACTTGGCAATAAGATTGTGCAAGCCATACCAATGACTTTAATGTGTGTAGCATATAAAAGGATAGGTCTTTATTCTCCCTTTCAGAAGTGTGCACACTCAGTCCTTTTCTATGCAGCACAGTCACCGTTCTGTCATAGCTGATGACCCCACTCCTCAGTAGCTCCATATAAATGCCAAGCTACCCATTCGTAAATCATACAATGTCAACTCCAAACCAAGGCGCCAATCTGAAGATTATAGAAATTAAAACAACAAACCAACTGCACTGTACAAAACATCATTTGCTACTTGCTGTTTTGATCGTATAGGTTACGATCTGGAAATACAGATTACAAGAAATAAAAGCAGTCTGGTCAGTTCTGTGATGGAATATACAACAACAGCACGTGCAGGTGAACTTCCTCAGAGAGGCTTACATAAAAGGCCTGTTCCCGCAGGGATGGGGTATCTGGAGGACTCTGGTTGTATGTGGAGAACCGTTTGTTCACAGTGGGCACTTTGTTGACAGTGCTGGCAGCAGATGTTTGATCATCTTTGTCAAATGGACTGAAAGAGACAGAACAAATGAGCTAAAGACATGCAGAAGTATGCTTAATATTTTAAATTATACTGCAAGCTCACCAAAATCATACTTTTTGCACTCTAATTACTTCAGTAATCTTTCACTCTCTCAATTCAAGCTTTCAGTTCAGATACAATACAAAATTGTATGCTAACAGTGGGATGTGATTAATTTATGCCGATCTTGGTGCACTCATTAAGAGCTGACAAAGTTCTTCAGAGATCGATTACAGCTTTCCAGTTAACAACTGGTACAAACTAATTGGTTTCTATTTGACCCCTTGACTGACTGTGGACTCGTGCAAAGCAAGGTCAAATATGAGCCTGAATGCTCTATTCCTGACATTACAAACCTGGGAGGAAAGGATTAAACTGGTGATAGATTAGTGGATTAATTTGCTTTTGTTTTCATATACCGAATTATAATGGCCATTTACCAAACTCACTACAGGAGCAGAAGAGGTAGGCCACTCTGTCTGCGTGTGTGTGTGTGTGTGTGTGTGTGTGTGTGTGTGGGGGGGGGCGTTGCAGGGGGGTTGGACTTGCACTTGAAATAATAACTCTAAATACTTCAGATTTGAGATTAAAAGCTGACACAACCAATGAACTTTCAAATAAACAAGCATTCTCACAAAGGCCAAGATTCAGCAACAGTGCCAGAGAACCTCTTGTTTGGTGGGCTACCCAACATCCTGATTTATTCATTGATCAACTTGTTCTCTTACATTTTATAAGATCAGCAATAAAGTGATTAAGAATTGATCACCGAGTCCATGAATATTTTCCCCTCTTTGACTCATGGGAAACAAAACTTTCCATAACCTCTTCCTTTCCATTGTGTGCACGTGTGCATGTGCATGAATGTTTTTTTGGGGGAGGGGATGTTAGATTATTTACCAAAAGAACAAGTAGTAACATCTTTCATATAACCTGCACGCAGACAACTGCAGTTCTGATGACAGAACCTGAACATAAAACCACTGAGAAAAAAAGGCTAACAATCAGCAGTAATTAATGTTTTAAAATGGATCAGAACTATTCAAGTGAGGGGACAGAAAGCTGCTTGCAAGGTGGGGACATGTCAGAATCAAGTACAGAAGCAGGTGCAGCCCATGTGACCCAATGAGCTGGGGTCACAGCCTACAATTTGCAAGCCCTGCTTCGTATACTTGAAACAAGACAAACATAACCAACATCCAGAACTTCCAATTCCCCGGTCCCCAACACCTCATCTTTACCATG